CTTCTCTTGAGCCTTCTACTCTGCTGTGCACAACTGTCTCTGCTGTGCAGTTTTGTAGCCAGTGGCACTGCTTAGTGCACCCTTCATGTCTATTTCTGTGGCCACTCATTTCCATATACCTCATTCTGCCCTGGCTTGGCACAACTGACTGGTGAACCAGGTCAGGCACCTTAAGCAGCTGAAAACTGAGCCAGCAAGCATGGGTAGTTTTCAGTCAGATCAGCTCCTTGGCCTAGCTTGCCACGTGGTTGCACTCTGCTTGTGGCTGCCCTCCCTCCCCACCAGTACAAGGACCAGAGACTGCTTAACTTTGAGATGGGCTGTTACTGCCTCTCCTAGTCAAGCAGAGGCACCGGCTGGCTCACTTGCAAGCAGCAGCACAGGAATGGTGAGAACAGATGTGAAACTGAGTTTGTTCAATTGCAGCAGGAGCAGGGAAGGCTCGAGAGAGCAGCACAGGAATGGAGCCATCGCTGGAACCACACGAGCTGAGTCAGTTTGCATGGTGTGAGCTGACACACTGAGTCATAGGAAATAATTTCCAGGCAGAAACAATGAAAGAGGTAACAACCAGGGCAGGCTGACTATTTAACTTTGTTTCATTTCTTCTGCACAGAGACTTTTATGCTTTTGAGTGAAGACAGATAGATTGAGTGCACGTTGACAGCATAGACTAATGACTGTGGGTGCTTATTCCTCCCTTACTGGGACAGACCCCCCTTAACTCCTTTTCCTCAAAGTACTGTGTAACACTGAGACAGTGCAATGGCAACCAGTTCAGCAGGGGACTAGTTAATGCAGAAGAGCCTCCTGCACCTCAAGTAATTAAACTGATGAAAGTACACTGTGCTCTCTCTCTCAGATCTGGGCCTGCAGCCCAGACTGGGCTACAGTTTCTTTTGCATCAGGTCTATAGCATTTTAATGGGGCAACAGAAACAGGAGAGGAATAAGGTCCCTATCCCTCCATCTCACACTGACAAGATGAGTGACCCTTACACTTTTTTTCTTACCCAGCATCATCCACTGCTCATCTCAGAAGAGCTATAAATATTATGCAGTTTTCATAGTCCTTCAGAAAGCAGAGAGGAATTTATTTGTAGCAGAAAATATAGGAAATCAGATCTATTTTGATTTCCCTTTGGTTATTCTGAAAGCTGCAGAGAGAGAGCTAGAAAGAGTCCAGATTTCCCAGAGTATATAATCTCTGCCAGGCTTAGCAGACTGAATGAACACATCCTTGGTTCTTCATCATTTGTGTGGAGGGGTTGCATCACCCCAGTCCCAGATTCATGCACCCCAATGGGCTGGCTATATGCATGGGATTGAGACCCTGCTGTTAAAAAGGGCATCCTGAGAACAACAGAGATTTTCATACTTAGTGGGCCATGCTGTGCATGAGAAAAGCAGATGGGAGAAAGGCACAAAGCTCCACCCTTATGCATATCACAGAAGTGCTTTTTTGGCCAGCCTAGTTTAGCAACAGTTTCTTTTATGGTACTTATATATATCCAATCTCCTCCCTACTCTTCCTTCTGCAAACAACAACATGGGAGCAATACCAATCTTGGTTGATAGCCTGAAAAAAAGAAACATTTTTTTCCATCTCTCTCTGTATAAATACATGAGATGCAACTCTTCCTGGCTTTGCTCTCATAACCACCTCATTTAAAATCCATCATTTCTTAATGAGGCAAGCACACATCACTTTGTATTTCCAGCGTGCTCCCATTTGATGGTACCAGCAGCTCCAAGCAAAGCAATACCCCACCCTGTTGCTAGAAAAAAGACATCCAAGGAGGGTGGCGCTCTCAAGCCTAGCATGTGTGGCCAATCAACTTTGTCCTGCCAACATGGCATGACTCACTTGATGCCCACTCACCCCAAATCTACTGGAAGGAAATGGAGATCTCTGACTCTAGCTCTGGCTCACCCCAGTGAGAGACAAAGTCCCTGAAGCTGGTCATTGAACATATTTATAAAGTCTGATCATAGCCTCCTGCAGTCATCATTTTAGAGTATTTTAGTTTATAGACAATTCTTTTGAGAGTTACTTCTCCCAACACCCAATGCTGGCTACCATTCAAGGCCAGAATTTTGAAGTAGGTGAATTACTGTCCCATTCCCAACACCCAAAAAGAACTATTCACCCTCTAGCACATGGAGAGCATCTGGCTTTTCAAAGGAGCTAGCCTTGCAGAGTACACCCATTGCCCTAATTCTCATCTGTTGTACCAGCCATTCAAAGAAATTTGATGGCATGGAGACAGGTGGTGATGAGCAGCCCTCAAAGATAAAAATACATCCCTAAATGGAGAAAGCTGGAGAAACAGAGCTAACCCATCTTTTTGGTTTCCTGAATCCTAGCATCCTCTCACCTGGGATGCCTGGGGAGCTTGGGAATGGGATTTCAGATGGTGAAGCACTGAGTTTATAGATTTGTTTCCCAGAGGAGCTAACAGATGCAAAAAAAAAACCCCAAAACAAACTCACTCAAAAATCAACAACTCCCAAAACAAACCAGCCTAATTACACCCACTATTGCAAGAGTTCATTCCACTTGTGCCCTCTAACTATAACCCTTTGGCACCAAGACTACAAAGTGAGAACGGGAAGTTCTTCACTTAAGACCAAAACCAGAGATAGCATTGAACTTCCCTCCTCTCATGCACTGTATTCTTGTTTGTTAACTTCTTTCTTCCATTTTACCCCCACCTCTCCTGGCAAAATCAGCTCTTATGGTTAGGAAATTAGGTAGTGAGTGTGTGTTCTGACTGAAACACATTTTCAGTCTTTACCGAGGCTCAGGACAAAGTCAGAGGAAAGGAAGGAAATCTGAAAAGGAAGGAAAAGTCTAGTGGGGTTAGAATAGTGACTGTAATCAGGACTCAGGATTTGTTCCGTTTGCTGCCACAGATGCCTATAACTCTTCACTGCACAAAGGATGTTGCATCACATGCTTTTCTGGAGTTCCTCACAGAAAGCACTATGGATCGCCTGTGCACTATATAACAGCACATCCTTTCATACTTTAAATTACCTTCCCAAGGAACTAAGTCCTTGATAAAAAAGCCTGAGCCAAAAAAACCTTTACCTTTTTGTATCTGAATTTCCCCTATTAGAGTGATGGGAATATTCTCATAACCCACCCGTGGAGTGACACGCTAAATGTTTGCAGTGCTTTTGTTCACAGGATGCCAATGAAAGGGGGAGATTTTTCTCAGGCTAAGTTTCAACATAGATAGCAACAATTACAAGAATTCACATGCAAATGTTTCAGTACGGCCCAAGGTTATGTGAAATGGTCAGCGGTTTCTCTTTTTGTACAGTTCTCTGCAGCAAGGCCAAGAACGTGCTTGGAAATCACATCTGACGCTACAGCAGCAATAAGCTGTGTTAAAACTCCTGGCATCAAGAGTCTCTTTTTTGACAGACACAGCTCTGTTCGAAAATGTCTTTTGGTGTGGGAGACTGTACTGAAATCGAATTTCTTCAGGTTCAGAGACTCACCTCTGTCTGTCTCACCACCCCCACCCCCTTTCCAATATTTGGACTCTTCTAATATTTAATTTTCCTCTTTTTATCATTTATCCAGTCTTTCTCTCTAGGCATTGCCCATCTCCACCCCCAGACTGCTCGCACATCAGCCACCTGAAGTCTGTTTTCCAACAAGGCCGCAGAAGAAGGGGGTGCTGCTGGCGCACCAGATAGGGCAGAGCCCCGCAGACACCTTCTGGCGCTACGAGTTAGAGCGTGGCTTTGCTTCCTGCAAGAGCACGCCCGGGGGCCCTTTTCCCGAAGGATCGCTCCCGAGCTGGGGAGCCTGGACCCTAAGGAGGGCAGGCGGGCACCCCCTCCCATGCTGCCGTTTCCCCCCTTCCCTTCGTCCGCCCTGCGGGGGACGGTCCGCCCCGGGCGGGACCCAGCGCCACACCAGCCCCGCACTGTGGGGTCTCACCTTGGGCAGGTCGGCGGCGCCCCGGATCCTCTGCGCCACCCGCTCCCCCTCGGGGTGGATCCTGCCCACATGCCGCCACATCCGCTCCCAGGTGGGCTCGTCCACGGGTAGCCCGCCGCGGTTGACGAAGAAGGGGACGCCGCCGTCGCGGAGATCCTCCTCGCCCTCCTCCTCCTGCTGCTCCTCGTCCCGCGGCGCCGCCGCCGCCGCCGCCTCGCCGGACGGGGGCTGCCTGGCGGCGGCCGCGGCCCCACCGCCCCCCGGCATCGGCATCGCCGCCGCCCGCGCTCAGCGACCGCCGCCCGCCGCGGGGCCACCGGGGGCCGCGCCCCGCATGGCCGGCGCTCTGGGCACAGGGCGTCACCGCCCCCGCCTCGTCCCTGGAGATATCAGAGCGGAGGCTTCGCGGGGAGAAAGGGAGAAAAAGCCGGGCGGGGCGGTGCCGGGTGCCGCATCAGGCCGCCGCGGCGGCGGGGGAGGAGGAGGCGCCGGCGGCCCGAGCGCCCGCGGCAGTGACGGCGGGCACCGCGCGGGGCGGGCCTGCCGCCGGGGCGCCCCCGCCGCGCCGCCTCCCGGGCGCTGCGCGGGGCGGGCGGGCACGGCCGCGTCCCCGGCGGGGGCTGCATGCGGGGTAACAAAGCCCCCGCGCCGGGCGGGGCGGGGCGGGGCGGGGCGGGGCGGGCTGGGCTGGGCTGGGCTGGGCTGGGCGTCGCTCCCCTCCGCCCCTCTGCGTCCCGGGCCGGGCGGCGCCGGGTGCCCACAGCTGTACCGCAGCCGGGCGCCGCTGCCGGGGGGCGGACGGGGGTGCTGCTGCCCACAGGCGATAAGCAGATGAGGGCGATAAGGGAGCCGGCTGTGGCCGGGCGATAAGGGGGCGGGGCGGGAGGGCGGGAGCGGGCCCTGGGGGGAGGCTGGGGCGGGGCCATGAAGCGGAGACTTAAGGGTCGCCGTGAGGGGCAGGGATCGCTCTTTGAGTGCTGCTCGCTGTGGTTCTGCGCCCGGGGTGCGTAGGAGTTAGGGACGGCCGGAGGGGCCCGGGAGGTGGTTCTGCTGGACAGTAGAGTACCGCCGGGAGCCAGTGGCACGTTTCCTTGTTAAGGTAGCTTTGAGGAACAGGAGAGATGGGATGAAATTGCCAGGTGGGAAGCAGTGGTGGGTGAGGAGGGTACTGGGATATTCCTGTGGCATCCTGATGAAGGATGCACTTCTCCCTAGGGGGAACTGTGCCGCTGCTATTGGGATATGCCACGCGTAGAGTGTCCCTCTCAAGAGAGGGACCGAGCAGGGCTTTTCTGCCTGAGAAGAGAGAAAATGCACTGTCCCTAAGGTCTGGAGATGCACTAGAAGTTAAAGACCGAGTGGTTTACTCTGGCTTCATCGTCTGGTTCTGTTCTTTTGACGTGCTGAGAAGCATGAACTCTGATGGGAGGTTCTCCACATAATGCCAGAGATTTGTAAACCTATCCTCCAGTGTGTACCTGGTACAATGGATGTGTCCTCATCTGTAAGAGCCGGGCTATGTCTTGCTGTGGACAGGACTGCTGACTAAGTTTTCTCACTACCCTGTGAGTCCATTTTGAAAGCTCTGGCATAAAAGCAATCTGTAACTTAAGCACCAAGTACAAGAAATGTGTACAAATTACCAGGTCAGCTGCCGACGAACCTTTTGAAGGGCATCTTGAAATACTTGCTTTTAGAGCTCCAAACAAAGGGTCGTGGGAAATGAGGGGAAATACATCCCGGTTGCCATGGGATTTGGTGTGTCCTGGGAACTGGGTATAACCTTTACAGAGCCTGGTAGAGGATTTCAGCGAGAAATGGCACTTCTCCTGTACTGTGTGCCGTTGTTCAGAAGAGATAATTTCTGAAGGCAAAATGCTTGAATGCAGTATTTCTGTAAAAATTGCCCAAAATGCTGAAAGGTTGATTTCCTTTAGAAAAAGTAAGCTAAATGTGTATCCCTGCTTCTTCCTTCTCTCTTTGAAACTAATCATCAGCATCACTTCATGCAACCTACATTAACTTCTGCAATACCCGAACATACATATCTGTGAATAAGGGTTTTCTCTTGAATACGGACCTTAAGCACTGCTGATTTATCACCTCAGTAAGGTTTTTACAGCTTTTATTGCCTTTGCCTTTTACCTGTGTGCAAGTGGTGTCAGTAGAGGATGACTTCCTATATCTAAAGAGGCAGCAAAGCCTGGGTCAGGAATAAATCTACAGCGTCTGCATTCTGTAAGAACAGTTCATAACCATCCATGTCCTCGGTCCCTTCAGCCCCAGCGGTCCTCAGTTTGTTCCTCTACAGACAAGGGACTGGAAGGGTACCAGTTGTGCAATGGCACAGGCATACTGGGGGACGTCATCTGCATTGTGGTTGAGTGGCAGGTGTGTTTTGAGTAACAGCACTGGGGAAAGGACAGGGTGCAAAGATTTTAAATGCTTCTTTTAGAGCCATATTGTCTCCCCTGGCTAAAACTAGGCACAGCTGCCTGTAGAAGCAAGGATGCTAGTTTTGATTCCAAGCTCCAGCACTGATTTGAGATGGTAGTTCACACTGCCTTCTGTACTTGTGCTTTTCCACTTGTAAAAGGGAAGTGCTAATAACCCTGAACTTGCAGCCAGAGACTTTGTAAAGATTAGTTGGCATTTTTGGCACATTAGCAATTACTCTTTCTTAAAAATAAAAATATTATAGTAGGAGTAAAATACAATCCTTGTATGTTTAGTGTCTTAAAATATATTCTCAAATCTCAACTGGAGGAAATGTAGCTGATAAACATCGACAGGCTGCAAAATAAGGCTTATCAGGGGATTTTTGCTTCAGTTTGTATTGGTTAATTATTAGGCAGCATCCCTCCCTTTTAACCATCACTCAAATAATTGGGCAGCAGCAGAATATCAGTATTATAAGGTAATGCCATGGCACTAAGCTTTCTTTAGCTGAAAAAGGGAGAGCACAGCCATGCCAAGTAAGCCAGTCCCTGCAGTGGGGACTGAATGCAACTGAGGTGACAGCAGAGGACAGAGACTTCACTTTCTCTTCTGCACAGCTTGTGCTTCCTTGCTGCGTGTGAGAACTGTTATGCATGCAGGTAAACCCAGATACCAAACCATTGCTAAGGTATTAAGGAAAGGTTTGTTCCAAAATTGGAAACTCTAAATACACTGCTAAAGTCACACAGTGGGTGAAAGAGTGCCCCCAGGCCTGTTTTCTGGTGCTTTTATAACAATGCCTGTCTCATGCACATAAGTTCAAGGCTGTGTTCTCCTCTGTCCTTTTATGTATCCTTTTTCTCCCAGCAAGGGCCTCACAGCATGTTATCCTAATTCAAAACAGGCAGATAATAAACATCCATAGGTGTAATAAATGGGATTTTCCTGTACCAATCTTTTCCCAGGCCCAGTTTTCCTAGCAGCGAAAACTCCCTTGAGCAAGAACTCTTTATCCTCCTCAAATAAATCTTCCACGTATACCTTCCTGTCCCTACACCACAAATGCTGTTACCCACGATGCAGGCTGCATAGTGGGCATTAAACGCTGCCTTTAATTTCTGGCAGCACATTATTGTGGCTAGGATGATGAGAGACCAGAAGATTAGACAATTTTTGTTTAAAACAGCATAAATCTTTCATTTGCCTATGCTCCATAGAGGAAGACTCCGCAGAAACTGTGTATACCGCACTGGAGAATGGTTTAAATGGGTGAAATTTTGTTAAGACAGAGTTAAGTTTTGCTGTTAGTGAAAAAATAAATAACTTTGATAAAAAAAATTGAAATCAAGGCAGAACTTATATTTGATAAAAGTATGGAGGTGGTGTAGACTGTACTAGAAAAATAAATTCTCTCCTCTGTTCTTCTGTGTGAACTGGGAATTTTGTCTCTATTAGAGAGGATCCAAAATTAGTTTCTGTGAACATAGGTGGTGATACTGTTGACTTTTATATTTATATTATTTTGTAATGTCCTTTACATTTTGATTAATATTTAAATTTTTTACTTCTGACAATCATTTGTTGTTATACTATTGTTTTGGTTTCTGTAGGTTTTTTTTTTATATCTTCAAATACAGTGTCTTTGTGAACTTGCATAGGAGCAATTCAAACACTTAGTGGAGATTTATTTTTCTTTATGGTGATTTTAGGCCACTGTTTAGTTAACATATATTTTCTTAGTGTGAACTGGAACATCTCAATGATCTTAAGGATTTTTTCCAACCTAAATGAAACTGAATTCCAACTGAATGTTGCTTAGAGCATGAGTAGGGATTGTGCTGTCTTTATTGACCTTGACCTAACTCTTTGTGATCTGAACTTCTCTGTGCCCCTAACTTCTTTTTTTGTAACTGTTGCAGAGTGGGTTCCCTCTTCTGTATTGCTGAAAGAGGTCTGTGAAAAGCCTCGTGTGGCAAATCAGCATGTTTCTAAATTTGTTTCCCAGAGTTTATTTAGCTTTGAAGCTGTTATCTAAATCCATTGAATTTCATTCAATTTTTTTAACATATTAATTCTCTTTAATTCTCTGTGCGTTTGGAATGCTTCTTTGAAAAGCACCTGTAGTTTTTCTAAACTGATTTTTCAGAACTTTGCCATTGAGTCATTCAGTGCCTCCGTATCACCTTGGATAGCTTGTAACATACTTTGTAAGGTCTCTTCTTGCCAAGAAGAATTCCTATGTGTCACAGATTCTTTTGCACCTGTTGGAAATCTGTAGGAAAATTCCAGCAGATTCACGTATTTTCATCCAGGCTTGACTCTGCTAGGGGCAGGTATGAGAGGAGGTGGGGAGCAGAAGGGCGGGAAGTGAGGTTTGCAGCTGCCTGTGTTTGGGCCCTGCAGCATCTACCTGAGTGCCATTGCAGAGAGGAATGGGCTGGGAGGGATGTCATGGTGGAATCCAGGATGGCCCTGACCCGACAAGTTAACAGAGCTGCTGTGCTCAGTGAAAAGATGGGGAAGAAACTTGTACAGCTTTTTAGTCGCAAATTTGCTATGCAAAATCATTACATGAGGTATGGTGTTAATTTGTTTTATGAACATATTTACACGAAACCTTGGTTTTTGTGTGGAATAAGTAGGGGAGCTGAATTTGTTAAGTCTAGTGGAAGAGAAGCCTGAGACAGTATAGTCGTTAGATACAAAAATAGTCCTGAAAAAGAGGTCTGTGTTACACTTCTAGGGTATATGGGACAACAAATAATATATCTTTAAAATATAATGTGAAAGAGTCAGGTTATACATTAGAAAAAACTTTAGAGAGGACAGTGAAAGACTGGAATAAATGTCCTCAGCAAAATAGAGGGTCCACATCATTGAAAAGTTTCAAGCATTGTTCATCAGCCATCAGTCAGGAAATACAATTGGACTCAATAATCTTAAGGTTCTTTTCCAATCTAAATGATTCCATGATTTGGTTAGAGTTGATCAGGCTTCTGAGAGGAGGGGAGAGAACCTGTATGACATGCTAAAATCCCTTATGGTTCTTTTGTGCCTGAAAATCACTGGCCTAATGTATCAACTAAAGAAGGGGGGAAGTTTTTGCCCATTTGAAGGGTTCTCTTGATTGTGAAGTAAGCAGCTTGACTCTGTGAATGACCTTTACTCATACAAACAATCTCATTGATTCCAGTTGCTGCACTTAAATGAGAGAAATGGTGTATGTCAGGGTGGAACACCAGAGCACAGTGGCTCAGCGTCAGTTTTTTCTTATAATACATTTTTTACGTAGTAGGTAAGCTGCCTTTTTTAAGTGTTTGATTTTTTTTTTTTTTTTTTGGTGGGGTTTTTCTTGTTTTTGTTTGGTTTTGTTAAATTTCAGTTAGAGGGTTGAAACTCATTGTTTAGGTGATGTTTATTTGTGATTTTTTTCCTTTCTTTTAGTTTTCTCCAAATCATAATACTGCCTTTAGCCTACTCATACAAACATCTTTATATGCAGTGAAATTCTCTGCTCTGCAGAAACCCTGATGAGTCAGTGTAGTGCTGAGCAGTATGCTATGCTGCAGTAGATCTTTGCCCCAAGTAGGAATTCTACCTTTGCCCCTAAATTTTCTCTTGCCTTGACTCTAATCAGGACTATCTCTGCACATAGCAGAGATACAACAGACGTGTAGCCTATAGTCTTTCGGCTTGAAGCCATTCCCCATTATCTTGTAATTATGTGCCCTTGAAAAAGTCCCTCTCCAGCTCTCTTTTAGCCAGCCTCCTCTAGGTACTGAAAGGGAAAAACCATAGACTAATATGGTTTTGCATCAAACTTCAGCGAAAAGAAGTTTAACAGCTAAGAGGTATAAAGCATTCTGCTTAGCTGGGAAGGAAAAGGGGCTTTGTTTTCTGAAGTGAGTGGAAAACTAGTTTTAGCAATCACAAAGAAGTTAAGAGCTTTCTGCTATATGAGTGCTTAACAGACATTGTTAAAACCTAAAGTTACACTGGAAAAAAATCATGGAACAAAATTGTCAATAGTTGTACCTGCTTTAAAGTTCTTTAACTTCTCCAGTGAACTTTTGGATAAAGCTAGAATTTTATGATAAAATTATTAATTTAATTTCTGTCTGATATTTTTTTCAAGAAACGGAGAGGAAACAGGCTTGATCCTGTAAAACCTTTTTCCTGTTCTACACTGGTACAGAACAGGCACTTCTGAAAGATTTAACTGGGACCAGAATAATAAACACACCAACACATGGGGTATTTATTGGAGTTTTTTTAAGAATTCAAATCCCAGCTTCGAATCCCAACAATGCTTTGTGAGAAGTAGAAATTTAAATGTTACATTTCTCACATCTGAACAGTGTGCTGAGCTTGCTCTATAATGTGTGTCTTTCTTATATAGATCAGAGTGTACATTCAAAAGACACTACTCCCAGACTACTCAGGTCAGGGACTTATGTGGAGTCTTAGGTTCAGTTCCCTGTGCCAAGCCTTGTCACGCACGCAATTTGAACTTTCATCTGTCTTATCACTGATGCTGCAGATTGTCAGTGTATTCTGGAATTATTGCCTCTCCCTTTTGGTTTGATCAGAAAATCCTCCTTGAACCTGCGTAACCTTTCTTAGCAAAAATTTATTCCTCTTCAAGAAATTTCAATAAACTGTCACTTCCCAAGAGCAAAGGTATTTCCTTAAGAATTTTTTTGTAATTTTCTAAGTCAAACTGATCATGAACAAGTTTTCTCTTCTCAGCTGGTTCCTTAGTGTCTTCAATTCTAACTTTGTCATTTAGTAGTAATAGATGTTATTTTTTTTTCTCCAGAAGCCTAGGATAAAGTTATTGCAGGAAAGTGCTGCATGGATTTTAGGGTTCTGTGCTGTATTCCCTCCTCTCTGATACTCTGTTCTGTCCATGCTTCCCAAGTGTTCTTGTTTGAATGCCTGCAGCATCTTTGTGAAACGTGATAGTGCTACTCTTCCCATTCTGCAAATGGAGAAATGAGATAAAGAACTTCAGCAAGTACTTCTACTGTAGGTGAAATGAGCAGAGGTGATTGCTGACCTCATGAGTCAGGTAACCACCTCCATGCAATGATATGTGAGTGTACCAGCACTGACTCTGGTTCATCCAGGTACAGCAGTGCTGTGCCGTGTGTGTTCCCTGGTTTGAGGATCTGCAGCTCAGAGCACTCTACCTTGTTCTCTGCTGTGAGGTGTAACATGCCCTGAATGATTTGTCCAAGATCACACAGGAAGACACTGGCAGAACAGGAACATAATGTGAGTTTTCTTTTAAGCAGCAAGCACACCTGCTTTAATTTTGCCTCTAGGCTACATAAGTTTTAAGTGAATAAAAATTACGTGCATATGGAAAAACTTCTTCCATATTTTTTTGAAAGGAAGTTAATTCCTATAATAAGATAGGTTTGGAGAGAATTGATTTTGCAATATGATTAGTTATGCTAAGGAAACTGTTCTTCACAGTTGGAAATGCAAATAAAATTTTGGTAGATCGGACTTCCATCTTGGTTTGCTTTACTGAAGTTAGAGTAGGAATGCATCATTCAGTAGGACTGTATTGATCTGTTCTATTGTGTCATAGACTGGAAGGAATGTAGGAATTTATTAATATTCTTCTAATACATTGAAGAATGTTTTAGAAGAATATTAATAAAAAGTTTCATGAAAAAAAGGGTTTAGTACTATTGAGAAATGGGTGCATTATTTTTGTCAGTGTTAATCTCCTGGTTCTTGATGTCCCCCTCCCTCCTCTTTGCTGTTACTCCTTCATGGTCCTATTGTGCCCAACTTACTGTGTTACATGTTTCCTGGTTTGCTGAAACCTGCTAATCTAGTAATTATGCTTTCACACTCACTAATTAATTTCATTTTTTGTAGGTATCATATGGAACATGCTTGATGACACAGTTACATCTGTTCATACAGAGGAGAAATTTTGTCACTGCGGATTTTGGAGGTAGGTTTGGGGTTACATGGAAGTTAAGGTGTAGTCCAAAGAGCTGATTTTTTTTTTAGCTGTCTGTAGACTGAAAAGGTGCATTTTCCAAGGAAATATCTTATAAGATATATGAAGAGGGTTGGCAGGTAAGTTTGCTTCATTGGGGTAGGGGTGTGGGGTGTGCCCAACTTAAATACCTCTATGCAATTGCACACAGTGCGGGCAATAAACAAGAGGAATTGGAGATGTGCACATGCCTGCAGGGCTATGATCTTATCGTCATCACAGACGTGTGGTGGGATGAATCCTGTGACTGGAGTGTTGGTATAGGAGGATACAGGCTCTTTAGGAAGGACAGGTTCTGAGTGGAAGGTGTCCCTGCCATAGTGATGGGTTGGAACTAGATGATCTCCAAGGTCCTTTCCAACCCAAACCATCCTGTGATGGGGAATATGCTGCAAGGATCAAGGCTCACACCCTGGGAGTAGAATGGACTTTGAAGAGGCTTGAGAGATGTTACTTTCTACCCAAGTTGTTCCCTTGGTACTGTTTGAGTTGGAAATTAATTGGGTTGTTAATAAGTCTGTGCCTCTAACTGTGGAGTTGATCTTTTCACTCTCTCCAGCTGGAGGTAGTGATGAATCTAATTTCACCTTGACGTGCGAGTATTTGAAAGCTACTTCAAGCTTATAGAGAGGCTGTGTTTGGGAAAACTTTGTGCCCTATTTGACAATTTGTCTGTTTCTCCGTAGTGATTATTTAGCTTTTTTTCCCCCGGGAAAATTTACCGTGGTGGTGGGAATGAGACCGACATGGGAGGAGTGACATCTAGTGGTCAGGAATGAAAATGTGCAGAATCACACGATTTTCCCACAGGACGATGAAAAGTAAAACAATTCCTAAAACATGGCCTAAGATTAACTTAGAGTGTACAAAACTTGAAATTTAGACATGCATTCCCATCAATGCAACTTCTGTCAGCCTCTGTAAGCAGTAACTTTCCTGCTTGATGTCCACTGCCAAGGAATGAATTGGATTTCTGGTGCCAAGGCCTGGTTACCCTCAACACATTCTAATATCTTCTTGTGTTTCTGTCCCATTTCATTGTTTGTTTGTTTTTAGGAATATTTTTACATGGCTCTCCCTTTGCCACAACTAGAATGACTTTAGGATCATATAATTTTGTGATTGTTACTTTTTTTTTTTTTTTTTTTGGCCGTTGGAGGGAGGCCATCTCGTGAATTGCTCACTTGTGAGAAAGTGATCAACTGTTTTGTAATGCTGAGAACCCAACTCTCTTATTTGTTGCTCTCAGTGTTAGAAGACACTGTTCACAGTTCACTTCCACTGGAAGGATTCTAGTCCGGGACTGGACTTCCAGACGAGTTCTCTGCTATCTCAGGGCAACCTTGTTGAATGGATTCTATCTAAGGGTACAGAGTGGGTTACACCTGTTTGATGCTTGGTGGAGGAAATGGGTGGCTTTAATAGGTTCTTTCGTGTTTTAATTTCCAATTACTCTTTTTCTAAGCAATTGAATGAGTGTAACTAATCTTGCTATGAAGTAAATACTTAGGGACAAATTCCAGCTGTCCAGTTGCCATTGAAGCAGGAGCTAGATAAAATCTCTATCACTCTAGGGCAGTGCTTGGCTTCACTACAAATTCTGGTTAAATTTGGAATGCTGAGAAATGAGCTAGTGTGTGGTCAAATTTTATTAGACTTTGGTGATGAAAAATGTTGTGCCTTCCTGCTGGCCTGGTAGGCTTCAGAGAAAATGGAAACAGATATTTCCTCAGACCTGAGAAAGGAGCAGGTTCCACTGAAATTAGATCAATTATTCTTGTCTGGCTTCCCGGGAAGTCACAGGCATACTCAGAAATCCCCCTGCTGACCCATTATATGAAGTTGGGTAAGTTGTTTGATCAGGTTTAGACTACTGACCACTGCAGTTGAGCCAGTAATTAAAGAAATGTGGCAAATTCTGTGCTCCAAGGCTCTGGGATGGATAGTATATAAATACATGTGATTATGAAAAACTTTAAGAAAAGAAGTGACTAGGAAGAGCAGTAGATATGTCAGTCTGTCTGGTCTCATGATTCTTTGACAGAGCCTTGCATATATCCAGATGACTCTGCCCAGCTCTATTTCCCTTCTGTTCTTCAGGGGTGCAGAAATGGAAAGAGGAAGATAAAAGGATATGTGGCACATATGCTCTGTGTTAGTAACGTGTCTGTCACAGCTGTGGGAACTGAAAAGAAAAGGAAGGAAGCAGGTGAAATCTGTTGTGCTCAGAGGAGGCCAGCATGTATTTGAGTGCTCACAAATGACAGATTTTTCCTTTAAAATTCTGTGTTCTAATACTGTGAGAAAGAGACAGGCATGTCATTGTTAAATACCTCCTTTATGAAGCCATATTGAGCTTGTTCTGTTGCAAGTTTAGTGGAGGAGTTCACACTATAACAGGGACAAAGCCTGGTGACATCATAAAGTTCCTGCAGAGTGGAGAGTCTTATAGACAGGAGCTGCGTGTAGGGGAGAACAGCAAGGGAACTTTTCCAAAAACTTCAGTAGTTACAGCTACTGGAGTATGACAGAACCCATTCTGAATTTAGGTTCAGTGCTCTAAAGGGCTGAGAAGTTCTTCAATATGAGTGCCTATTGCATTATAACTTCTGCATATGTTTTTAAAGTATATGTAGTCTGGCAGCAATTATGGGTGAAGCCATACCTGTTGCCTCTCCTGCAGTGAGTTCATCCTCTTGGGCCTGTAGTGTCATTCACTTTCTTCTGCTGTGGCTTCATGTTGTACATCCCCCTCATTCTGCCTGAGAATCCAAAGTCACTGGATTAAGATCTCTAGGAGGTACACTTGTGGCCATTCCTGTACCTGTTTTGGAACAGCTGTCCATAAATAAGTTCTCTTTTAAGAGCCTGCACTTTTTGTGTAGCCAGCTGATATTATAGGTCTCCTCAGTCTCACATCATCAGAATTTCACTACAGCTGTGTTTGCAAAAGAAAATTATTGCTTTTGTTTGTTTGAAATCTATCTTTCACATAGTTTGAGTGAGAGCTCCTAGTTCTAGCATTGCAAGGTTTGTTGAGTAACAGTCCTGCTCTCATGTTCTTGATCGCCTTCATGGTTTCATAATTCTCAATTGTATCCCTTTCAGCTTGTATGTCTCCAAATTAAAGAAAGAAATCTCTCCTCTTAATGCAGCTGCTCCATCCCCTAAATTCTTGTTGTACAGTTTTTGTGCTTGCATGAAACACAAGTGCTTAAATGCGGATACAAGTCAGTCTCTCAGTAGCTACATGTCCCAGCTGTCTGTCACAAGGCAGAGTTGGCTGCCCTGTTAAAGCAGTCAGAGTGTTCACAGAATAACTCTTTTTTGAGCATCTGACCTTTTTTAAAGCTGTAGCAAGCAAATTCCAAGAACGCTTGTGGGATGAACTGCAGCAGCTTTCTCTGTTTGTGGGTGGATACTGGCCAATTCGCAGCCATCCCTATGGATATCTAGCTTTTTCTTGGCCTGAAACCAGCTGTTAAAAAGGGCCAGATTCTCACTAGTTGCTTGTGGAGTTTCTGGTCATTTGGGTTACAGTGCTGGCCAGACACCCATTTGTACTTTTTGTGGTGGTTCCTGCCTTTCTCAGTGCTGAACAAGTAAAATAATTTTTACTTCTTTGTAGTTAGTACACTTGCTGTATGTGACAGGATACCCATGCTGAGAATGTGGTCAGCTGCAGGAGAGATACAGGTAGCAGCCAGGCTTGGAAGCACTTACACTGATTTTAGCTGGGACACTGATGCAATCTATCCTGAGAAGTGGATCTTTAGAGGAAGCTGATGCTGCAGGCAGAATCTATTAGTTCTCTGGTCTCTAAAAAGAGTAGAAGTTACATTCCAGTGATGTGGTTATGATAAAACTGGTTCTTATATGTTATCATTCTTGATTTCTGGTAGCTTATTATATAATAAGATGTCTTGGTTTATTAAAAATAAATTTTTTTTAATCAATCAATTTTAATAAATGGATGAGTTATTTCTTTTATGGATGACTGAGTAGCTCTTTTTTGGACCCATGTTGAACAAAGGTCCTTTTCTCAGTTTAAAGTCCTGTAACTGATTTGATTGGATAGTGAAAACAGCTGAAATGTTTAATTTTATTATACTGTTAGGAATTAAAGGGTGTAAAAGCAAAGATATTTAAAACTAATACTTGGCCTAACTAAACATGTATGACCAGTCTGGTAAGCAGTAGACTGCAAGTGGAAATTTGCTGTATTTTTTTCTCTTTTAGAAAAGTAAAGATTTATAGAATGGAATGAGAGCTATTGTTCCCTTTAGATATTAATAAAAATCACCGAATGTGTCCACCTACTCTCCTCTTATTGTTGATTTTGCCATATTTGTATGGAAATAGTGTGAGCTACAACATTTTGCATTGCAGTCACCCTAATTGTGTAAGTTATGGAGCGCATTTCCCCTATCACATTCTATAAACACAGTGCTGTGAAACCTGCAGCATCTAGATACATTCTGTATTGGAGTGTCCTTCTGTCTCTTAATAAGAATGATACTCCCCAAAGTCAATCTCCCACATCTCTAGCTGCTGCATTCTCACTACCAAGAATGTTCAGCCTTTGCACCAAATGGTATCCTGGAAGCTTCATAGGTCAAACTAAGAAATTACTACATACCAGAATAAACTCTCAAAGACAACTAGTGAAGAATAAACACATACACAGTTTGTTTACTCCTGATCTCACATCTTTAGTTCTCAAAACACTTTCTACATCTTAGGAACTAAAACTGTCACCATAAACTGTAGACTCAGCATAGTTACTGTTTTCATAGTGAATAATAACCTTACTTACCACAAATTCTTGCTATTTCACACTCTCTCTTTTCCTGAACAGGAACAGATCAGCTGCTTTTTCTCTTGGATTCTTTACCAATGTCTGTCTAAGTCAATGCAAAGTATTCAACTGTACTCAGAAAAGATTTCTGTTC